TCGTCGGGAACATCGACTGCTTTTCAGACCTTCAGGTCGTCCGGGAACTAAGTACAAGGCAACTGAAAGAGCTGAGCTACTTCAATGATGTGAATCAGGAACGAAATGGGCCCCGAACGGTACCTTGGGATGCGGCACTAGTGGATAACTACCAGTCGGTTAGACGAGCATCCCTCAGTGCCTTCCATTTCCGCCCAAAATGGAAATGGCCGATCCGCTGGTGCAGTAAGCCTGCTGAAGAGGACCACATGGTTCACCTTGTCAACGCTTTACTGACGTAAATGTCGGTCCTGTCAACTGGCTCCCCCGGTTCAACGCTTTCTACAACTAATGCCTCGTCACAGGCAGGTCGGTGATGCATTGGCAGCCTTTCATGAAATTGTGCTGTTCCAGGGTCAAGAGATTTTTCGACTCCTCAAGCTGAAGTGCACTCTTCTTAACGATCTTCACGACCACCTTGGTTAAAGCGGACAGCAGTTTAATTGGCCTGTAATTGTTTGCCTTGCTTGAATCACCGTCCTTCGAAATCGGCTTTACTACTGAGTATTTCCAGTCGTTCGGCAATGCACTCTCGTACAGTGGTCTGTTAAAATAGACCAGTCACGGAAGGCAAGATAATGACCGACAGTAATTTGGTGATCAACAGGTGCAGTGCGTCAGGACCGGCAAGTTTCTTGCGTCAAAATTGACAAGTTGATTTCATACATCTGCCATGTTGTCGAGTAGGGTAGGGGATGCACAAGTCGAACTCGGTACAGTCATCTGGTCGTTTTCAAATACGGAAGCGAAGTACCCCACCCATGCGGACACACGTTCAGCGATGGAAATTAAGGGCTGTCTGTCAGCAACTTCTAGTACCGCTCTCTCACCTTCAGGTCTCTGGCGCCACTTCACGTAAGCACAAATTCTCTTGGGGCGCTCTTCGATGTGGTTGCCAACTCCTCTTCGAAATATCGGCGCTTCTGCGCTTTCGCGATGCTGCATTGATTCCGCTCTTTCTTTTTCACCTGGTAATCGTCGGGAGAGCCAGCATGGGGGAATTTATCCCCTAATGCTGCGTCGCCATCATGTCAACTGGCTCTACTTCTTGTCTAACCACTGGCTTCACTGATCCAGCTTTCCGGTGTTTGAGAGGCACGAATTAGGCGCACAACGATTTTACATCCTCTTTATAATAGGCCAACAGGCTCCAACATATGAATTTTGTAGTAGCGATCAGTCCACTTGAGTGGTGATTTGAGTGCGACCATCAAAGTTTGTTTTTCAGTAATTGTAGGATGGTTTCCGTGGACACGAGTATGGCATCAGAAACTCTAGGATGGTTATAACCATTGATTGGTGGTCACTCGCCGCTAGATGCTTTAGTACCTGAACATCATGCGCAAACCGTTCGCAGCTAGTCACCAACAGCTTAAAGCATGATGGAGCTGAATTCGATGGAATTCGCGTCGGTTGGCTGGTGCATTTTACTGCCCCAGTCTCGGCTTTCGTCTTAGCAAACTGTGTCTCAACTTCACACTGCCCAGAGAGAAGTTGAACTTCACACTAGGGTAAGTTAAGATCACTAATGTGCAGGAAGCAGGGACAAAGTAATATGAAGCGCTTCAGAATTTTGCATTTTACAAATAGTTATCCAGGAACGTGACATCTATGGTCCACAGGATAGGAGTTAGCTGAGCACACAATAAAAAGACGGTGCGAAGAGGTTGGCGTGGTCATGTTACCTGAAAGGATAAGGCGTTGTCTGCTTTGGAACTCGAAAACTGTCATTTCGAATCCGCGTAACAGCGAGCGTCCTCGTAGTCTCCCCATCCCAAGTCCGACTTGTGGCGGTCACATGAAAACTACGCGTCTTTGAGGTGCACTGACATAATGCATCTGACAGTTTGCCTGAAATGTGCCAACTGCAGTTAGCGGGAACGATTGAGCCGGCTCAGAGAAGCTGCCTAACCTAAACTGGGTTACGTGTTTGCAACTCACCTCCCTAAAACCCTGGACGTATTTGGCACCTTAGACCCCGGTGTAAAAAAAATCAGTCCGAGCACAGTTCTTCAAGACAAACGCGCCAATAGATGCCGACTAACCGCCGTCTGACCTTCAGTTGAGTATTGTGGAAGCAAACAGCGGAGCACTGGGAATTTCGGTTTCAACCTTGTTTACGCGCTAGTTTTGTTCGACCGTCATGTGTGTTTTTCAACGCGAATATGCGTGTTCCTGTGATTCCTTCGAGTCGGCGGTTATACGCGTTTATCAGCTTCTTTCTGGCTCAGTCCAAATGCACGAGTAGATTGGGTTACCGTTTCTGGATTTTCGTCAGTCCCATCTGCCATCGACGTCCGAATCTTTGCCCATATTGGTCCGACGGATGAACCACTTCACGGAACAGAAACAACACACACATACACGCTGTCTCATTTCCTATTACTGCTATAGCCGCCTTCCTGGGGTACGAAGTGACCTTGTCCCCGTGCTTTATTACTTGCTACTCCTTCTCCGCATTGTTCGTTCACACCGATTATTTATTTGGATTTTCTCACTCCGTCCGAATCGCTTGCTACTTAAGTCGACAGTCATTCTTGTGTTTAAGAACATTTCTGTCTCTGGGTTAAGCGAGTTAGACGAAGCGACTATAGGCCCCTCCAAAACATATTTAGACACTGCTCGATCACAGTTCATCCGCTACTTCACGCGTGTGATACAATCCGATTCGCTTGAGGCTATTGCATCCATCTCTACTGTCTTACTATGCCGGTGTTTACGATTACTGTACTTGAGACGAACTTCACTACAGGAAGACAACGCACCGCTTCAATATCACCAATGGTGTGCTGTATTGCCTAGCTCTGCTATGGAGGCACGGACTGTTTCAATAAATAAATAAGCGTTTTATTCCTCGACAATGCGAGGCACAATCCAACTGAGTGGACTGATCAATCGCACAAAATAGTTGATTGTTCGTATTTTGTACTATGGATCACAAATGGGCTTCTAAAGTGAATAGCAGTTTGATAACATTAGAGAGAAAGAAAATGGGCACAATAACAAAAGCAGCTTTTGCCAAAGATTCAAGTAAGGTAATACGGCCATTCATGGAAACGCCCCCAGGGGACCTGATTCTACGCGGGTTATTTTCTCGATGGGTATCACGCGCACTTCCTTGTTCCAACTGACTGTGTGCCAATGTGGCAAAATAGCATGTAAGCATTACCTATTTCACAAATGTTTTTATAAAGGCTATTTTATGCATGCATTA